CGCGCGCAGAAAGACATCGAGGCGAACGGGCACCCCTTCTCGCACTTGGAGGTCAAGCCATTGAGCTTTTGGCAGCGGATTTGCGAGCACCATCACATCACGCACATCGTTGACTTCACGGCGGGGTCTGGCGCGTTGGCAATCGCAGCCTCTGGCGCGATGGAGTACGAGGGCGTGGCGGTCAACGAGGTGCACCGGGAGTGGCTCGACGCGACCTTGGACCGATGCGCACTGTACATGGCGGGGCATGACAAGAATTTCACCCAGAAGCTCGGCGGCGACGACGGTTTCGCTGAGAAAGTAGAGAAGTACTTCGCGGGAACGATGATGGAGGTGCGGCGCTTGCTCGAGCCAATCGCGGACGAGGTGGACGGGGATGGGGGGGGCTCGGACTCAGCGGAGGAGTAGATCGCAGGCGCGCGATCGCGGGTGGGAAAACGACGCAGCCTCTGGCGCGCCACTGACGCGGCCTGGCCCTGACTCAGGTGTCGAAATTTTGCGCGCGTCGCGACTCCAGTGCGTGAGCAGTTCCGGGGTGACGCCTCTGGCGCGCGAGGAAGCGTGCAAGACCTTCCAGCGCGGCCAAGTTTTGATGGGTAGACCAGTCTCTTGCCCGGAGGTGCAGCTTCATACGCGCCCTTGGACGCGCGCGGCGCTGTTACGCAACAGAGGAAATGTTCCGACCCCGCACAGACGCAAGCCAATCCATTCAGCGCAGAAGGCCAGGCCGCCCGTCAAACCAGGCCAAACCACCCATAAGTAGACCAGACCCTGTCCACAAGTAGAGCAAAACCCGCCCAAAAGTAGACCATACCACCCATAAGTAGACCAGACCCCGCCCAAAAGTAGATCAGACCACGCCCAAAAGTAGATCAGACCACACACAAGGAGACCAGACCCCGCCCAAAAGGAGATCACACCCCGCCCAAAAGTAGATCAGACCACCCGCAAAGAGACCGGACCCCGTCCAAAAGTAGACCAGACTCGCCAGACAGTAGACCAGACCACCCTTGAGTAGACCAGACCCCGCCTTAAAGTAGGTCAGACCCCGCCCAAAAGTAGATCAGACCACCGACAAGGAGACCAGGCCCCGTCCAAAAGTAGACCAGACCCGCCCAACAGTAGACCAGACCACCCTTGAGTAGACCAGACCCCGCCTTAAAGTAGGTCAGACCACGCCCAGAAGTGCATCAGACCACCCACAAGGACGCCAGACCTCGCCCAAAAGTAGATCAGACCCCGCCCAATAGTAGATCAGACCACCCACAAGGAGACCAGACCCCGTTCGCAAGTAGAGCAGACCCCGCCCAAAAGTAGATCAGACCACCCACTAGTAGACCAAACCCTGTGCCCCAGTAGAGCAGGCCCGCCCAAAAGTACACCAGACCACACGCAAGTAGAGCAGACTCCGCCCAAAGTGCGTCACACCCCGTCCAGAAAGAAAAAGGGCCCGCTTCTGGAAACCAGGGAAGACAGCCCGGGCAGTTTCTGGAAACGAAAAAAGAAAACCAGGCCGTTTATGAAACCGAGAGAAGAAAACCGGGCCGTTTCTGGAAACGAGGAAAGGAAAAGGGCCGTTTCTGAAACCGAGGGAAGAAAACCGGGCCGTTTCTGGAAACGAGAAAACAAAACCGGCCCGTTTCTGGAAACGAGGAAAGAAAAAGGGCCGTTTCTGAAACCGAGGGAAGAAAACCGGGCCGTTTCTGGAAACGAGGAAAGAAAACCGGGCCGTTTCTGGAAACGAGGAAAGAAAAAGGGCCGTTTCTGAAACCGATGGAAGAAAACCGGGCCGTTTCTGGAAACGAAGCAAGAAAACCGGCCCGTTTCTGAAACCCAGGGAAGAAAACCAGACTGCTTCTGGAAACGAAGGAGGAAAGTAGCCCACTAGGCATGCTTTCATTTTCTCATCTCGGTTCTGAAACCGAGGGAAGAAAACATGTTCGGATTTGGCATGTTGGCGAGCATGTTGTGGGCCCTATATGACATGTAGTATAGAGCCCACAACATTCTCGCCAACATGCTAGACCCGAACATATTTTCTTCGCTCGGTTTTGCAACCGAGCGAAGAAAACATGTTCGGATTTCCGACATGTTTTCTTTCTTTGTGTGTGGGGGGGGGGGGACCACAAGTTTTCTTCTGTCGTTTCCAGAAACGGTAGGGTTTTCTTCCCTCGGTTTCAGAAACGGCCCTTTTTCTTTCCTCGTTTCCAGAAACGGCCCGGTTTTCTTTCCTCGTTTCCAGAAACGGCCCGGTTTTCTTCTCTCGGTTTCAGAAACGGCCCTTTTTCTTTCCTCGTTTCCAGAAACGGGCCGGTTTTGTTTTCTCGTTTCCAGAAACGGCCCGGTTTTCTTCCCTCGGTTTCAGAAGCGGCCCTTTTTCTTTCTTCGTTTCCAGAAACGGGCCTGTTTTGTTTTCTCGTTTCCAGAAACGGCCCGGTTTTCTTCCCTCGGTTTCAGAAACGGCCTTTTTTCTTTCCTCGTTTCCAGAAACGGCCCGGTTTTCTTTTCGCGTTTCCAGAAACGGCCCGGTTTTCCTTCCTCGTTTCCAGAAACGGCCCGGTTATATTTTATGGTCGGGGTCTGATTTACTTTTGGGAGGGGTCTGGTCAACTTATGTGTGGTCTGGTCTACTTTTGTGCGGGCCTGCTCTACTTGTGGACAAGGTCTGGTCTACTAGTGCGTGGTCTGATCCGCTTCTTGGGCGGGGTCTGATCTACTTTTGGGTGGGGCATGATCTCCTTGCGGGTGGTCCGATCTACTTTTGGGCGGGGTCTGATCTAGTTTTGGGCGGGGTCTGGTCTACATGTGGGTGGTATGATATGCGTCTGGGCGGGTCTGCCCTATTTGTGGACCAGGTCTGGTCTACGTTTGGGTGGTCTGATCTACTTTTGGGCAGGTCTGGTCTACTTTTAGGCGGGGTCTGGTCTCCTTGCGGGTGGTCTGATCTACTTTTGGGCGGTGTCTGATCTACTTGCGGGCGGGATCTTGTCTCCATGTGGGTGGTCTGATCTACTTTTGGGCGAGGTCTGATCTACTTTTTGGGGGGGTCTGGTCTACGTATGGGTGGTCGGGTCTGCTGGGCGGGTCTGCTCTACTTTAGGGCGGGATCTGGTCTCCTTGTGGGTGGTCTGATGTACTTTTGGGCGGGGTCTGATCTACTTTTGGGTGGGGTCTGATCTCCTTGCGGGTGGTTTGATCTGCAATTGGGCGGGTCTGCTCTACTTGTGGACGGGGTCTGGTCTCCTTGTGGGTGGTCTGATGTACTTTTGGGCGGGGTCTGGTCTCCGAGTGGGTGGTCTGATCTACTTTCGGGCGGGGTCTGATCTACTTTTGGGCGGGGTGTGGTCTATTTGCGGGTGGTCTGCTCTGCTTTTGGGCGGGTGTGCTGTACTTGTGGGCAGGGTCTGGTCTACGTATGGGTGGTCGGATTTATTTTTGGACGGGGTCTGGCCTACTTTGACGCGGGGTCTGGTCTCCTTGTGGGTTGTCTGATGTACTTTTGGGCGTGGTCTGATCTACTTTTTTGGGCGGGGTGTGATCTACTTTAGACCATGAATTTCCATGGCGTGTGTTTGTTACATCTTCTTAACTTGTTTGCTTTGCTACGACATGCTATCCCAAACCGTGCTCCGTGATCGTTTGAACGCTGTCCATATGTACGCATTCCCGTGGTATGCCATGCGTTGTTAAGCAATGCTGTGCCACGCCGTGCGCTGCTCTCCGGTGTGGTGCGATGCTATGCTATAGTATGCGACGCCATCCGACGGGATGCCATGCTGTAGCTCTGGTGTTCCCACCCAACAACCTCTCTGTGAGACACATGGTGGTCGTGTGTGAATGTTGTACACAGTACGGCTCTGGCGTACTTCTGGGCAGTGTCTGGACTTGGTGCGAGTGTGCTCTGTGCATTGCATTGCAACGCCTTGCGAACACATGGAACCTTGTGCGATGCGATGATATGCCGTGCTAGGCCACGCGATGCAGTGCTATGCGATCCCATGCTATGGCTCCTGTCGGGCCCTCCCCCCCGGGGTGGCTGGTCGCGTGGGAATGTCGGCGCGGAATCTCAGAGACTTCATAGAGCTGCGCGTGCCAGCCATGCAAGTCCCTCCGCGCGCCTGGCACGCGGAGGCACCCCTGCCCCCGTCCCTCCGCGCGCCTGGCACGCGGAGGGACGGGGGCAGGGGTGGGGCGGAAAGTGGGAGGAGGAGGAGGAGGTTTTGGACGAGGACGAGGACGAGGACGAAGAGGAGGGAGTGGAAGTGGGAGGAGGAGGAAGGAGTAGTAGAGCAGGAGGGAGTAGAAGACGAGAGGAAGTGGGACGAGGAGGAAGGAGTACAAGAGGTGGGAGAGAACAACCATGGAATATGGGGAGGCGGACCAATCGTCGCCACGGCTGGAGCATGCTGGAGCCACGGAGGCATCGTCGCCACGGCTGCCTTCGCCTCGAAACTCTGGCCAGAGCGTCGCCACGTCGCCAACGTCTCTAGGAGAGCAGTGCGCCCCCGGAGGGCCGTTCGTCGCCACGGCTGGACGCACCTCTGAAAATCGAGGCGGTTGGATCCTGGGAGGGCTCCAGGGAGCGGTTGTGAGTAAGACGGGGAGGAGGAAAAAGAGGCAGGGGGCAGCTGCTCTCCACAGCCGTCTCGGCCCAAGCCGCTCGTGCTGCAAGCGCCTCCAAGCCCTCTCGGCCCAGTCCACAGCCGCTCCAAGCCCTCTCGGCCGGGATGTCGGAGCATCCACTCGCTGGGCCCCAACCTTTGGCGGGAGACTTGACTGAACCCCAGCCTCTGGCGGGAAACTTGCGGGATTGGCGCCGCGGCAATCCTCTCCGAACCAGCGAGACCATTGCCTTTGGCAATACCAGCGCCAAGCCGACCCCCGGCGCACAACGGCCGTGGCACTACTACTCAGTCCAAATGCCTACCGGGGGAAGCCACAAGTGGCTCTTCGTTCCTTTCCTCGTGAGGGCCCCAGCCTCTGGCGGGACACCCCTTCCAATGGGAGCGCCGCAGGAGGCGCAGTTGGAAACCAGAGTGAGGGAGGGCGTTCTGATGGAGCACTACACCAACATCCACCGCCTACGCGCCCTCTTGCTGAGCCACCCGCTCGTCTCCACCGCCACGCCGCACAAGGTGGACAAGGCGCTCGACCCCAAGTGCTTCGACGAGGACGGTTGGGCCTATAAATATCACCAGTCCCCTTGGGACTTGTCAGTGACGCTCGCAGCCTCTGGCGCGAAGTTCACCCTCGGATGGACCACAAACCATATCAAGAAGCCGCTCGCGGCGATGTGGTGGTTGATGCAAGGGAAGGCCGCGACGGCGGATAACCTCGCCCACGCGGAGGCGATATTCTTGGATGTCGCCGAGGCCGCCCGCTCGTGGCCGCTCGGCTTCCCCCCTGAGGAGGGGGGGGCCGGGGCCAGTGCGAGCTCTTCCTCTGCCGGCGTCGCGCCCCAGCCTCCGGCGGCCACTGCGGCGCCGCCGCCGGCCAGGCCCCTGCCTCCGGCGGCAATTGCGGCGCCGCCGCCGGCCAGGCCCGCGCCTCCGGCGGCAACTGCGGCGCCGCCGACGGCCGGGCCCCAGCCTCTGGCGGGAGACGCGGCGCGGGCGCCGGCCCGCGCCAGCGAGCCCGCGCCGGAGAGGCCGCCGGCCCCCGGCGAGCCCGCGCCGCAGAGCCCGCCAGCCCCCAGCCAGCCCGCGCCGCAGAGCCCTCCGGCCCCGGACACCGCCTGTCCGGTGGAGCCTTTGGCGGGGGCGCCCGCCGCCGCGCCGGGGGCGTCCGCCGACGCCACCAGCGCGGCCTCCGCGCTGCTGCCAGCGGCGAGCGTCGATGCGGGTGCTGCCGCCTGCGACAAGCCTGCGGACAGCGCCCCAGGCGGCGCCGAGCGCCGCGACCACCTCGAGGATTTCCAGCTGGACGAGGCGATGAGGATGTCCGAGCAGGAATCCGCTGAAGTCCGCGATCTCGATTACAGCCCAGATCAGAAGTCGGGCCCTCCGTCGGACGAGGAGGAGGAGGGCGTCGAGGCCGACCCAGCGGAGCCGCAGAGCAGGGTGCGTCGCCGCTCGAGGTCGCGAGCGGGGCCCGCGCGCCCGCGCGACCCAGCCTCTGGCGGGGCGGACGGCGAGATCGACCTCACCATGCACGTGTCCGCCAAGAGGCTGCAGCGGCTGACCGAGGACCAGAACCCAGAGGTCCTTATTTTCGGAAAAACTGTTTTTTTTTCCAGTGGTCGGTTTTTTTTTTTTTTTTTTTTTTTTTTTTTTTTTTTTTTTTTTTTTTTTTTTTTTTTTTTTTTTTTTTTTTTTTTTTTTTTTTTTTTTTTTTCCGTATGCGGTGCACGGAAAAATTTTCAGTTTTTTCAATGGAACTGAAAAAACTGAAAATTTTCAGTTATATTGTACACATTTGTATATAAAACACGTTAACTATGACAAAATATCATAGCTCGTCGTGAACCCTCCCGCGCTCTCGCCTCCCCCGCTAGTGCTGCAGCATCAAGGCGGCGCCAGCGCGACCGCCTGCGCGCGATATGGCCCTCCGCGCTGCCATGCTGCGGAAGCGCAGCATGGAGGAGCTCGGGGGGGGGGGGATTCTTGGGGAATTGTCAAGCAATTTTTTGACCCCAAAAATGCCTGCGGGCAATTTTCGGGCAAAAAATTGACCTGAATAAATGCCCGCGGGCAATTTTCGGGCAAAAATTTGACCTGAAAGATGCCCGCGGGCAATTTTCAGACCTGGAAAATGCCCGCGGGCAATTTTCGGGCAAAATTTTGACTTGAAAAATGCCCGCGGGCAATTTTCGGGTAAAACCGCCTGGAGGAGCTGCCCCAAGGCCCAGACGCCGCCGCCGGTCGGCCGGCGCCGTGGGCGCGCGGCAGCCCTGATGCTGATCCTCGCGATGACCGTCGGGATCGTCGATGCCGACGCCGATGCCGAGTCCGCGTACTACGACGACAACGTGGACATGAGGGAGTTCTGGCTCGATGCGCCCGTGGACCCCTCGATGCACGTGGGCGCGCCGCCGGACGGGATCCACTCCACCGGCGGGCGCGCTGCGCCTGCAGGAAGCAGCGGAGGGGGACCGCCGCGCGAGCGCTCCGCGCCGCCGGCTGAGCCCCCTCCCCAGGGCCCGACCCACCCACCCCCCGACCCCCCCGATGGGGATCCATCGTCCTGGGTCAGAGGTTGGGGTCTTTTCGGCATCAGCTGGAAGGACATCGGCAACCGCACCTACTGGTTTGCCGAGGGGATGGGTGGGGGTACCTTCAGGGTCGGGTAAAATTTTGACTTGAAAAATGCCCGCGGGCAATTTTCGGGTAAAATTTTGACCTGAAAATGCCCGCGGGCAGTTTTCGGGCAAATTTTTGACCTGGAAAATGCCCGCGGGCAATTTTCAGGCAAAATTTTGACCTGAAAAATGCCCGCGGGCAGTTTTCAGGTCAAAAATTTGCCTGAAAATCGCCCGCGGGCAATTTTCAGGCAATTCTCGCGCAATGTTCGGACAATTCTCGGGCAATTTTCGATCAACTGCAGAGAGTTGCTCGAATGTTGCCCGAAAGTTGCCCGAAAATTGTCCGAGGTTTCCTGCTTTGCATGTCCTTCCCAGGACGGCGCCAGCGGCAGTGGCGCGGCGGCCGCCAGCAGCGGCGCTCCGGCGGCGGCGCAGGCCCGCTTTCAAAATGGGGGACGGAGCGGAGGAGGAGGAGGAGGACGAGGGGGAGGAGGAGGCCGATGGAGGCGGAAGAGGAGGAGGAGGAGGAAGAGGAGGAGGCCGAGGAGGAGGAAGAGGTGGAGGGGGAGGAGGAGGAAAAGGAAGGAGAAGAGGAGGAGGAGGAGGAGGAGGAGGAAGTGGAGAAAGACGACGAGGAGGAAGAAAAGGCGGAGCAGGATGAGGGTATTAAGACGGTGAGGCGGATCAACAGAGGGAAGGATGAGGTGGAACGGACTCAGAATACGCACGTGAGCTCGCACGCGAACTCACGTGCGCATTCGGGGCTGGGGCCATCGAAACCCGCGCGTATGGTTTATAAACCACGCACGCGGGTTTCGACGGACCCAACCTCGACAGCGGCTGTTGCGTGCTCCTCGACAGGGGCTCGGCATCGTCGAGCCGCGCGTGCACTGCGCGCCGATCGACCTCAGTAGCGACTCCGACGACAAGCCCCTCTCCAAGGTCGCGCGCTGCAGCCAGAGCCTGCCCGACCACGCGCCGACCCAGCACTACAGCCAGGTCGCGATCGCGGACCACCTCGTGCTGACGGACGCGCAGCAGCACGGTCGCCTGGGCTCTGTTCAGGCTCGAAACGGGTTGAACGGTGTGCGTGTGTGTATGTGCGTGAGTGTGCGTGTGCGCGTGTGTGTTCGATAACCGATCGCACGGTGACAATGTCGGGCATCCTCCTCCCCTTGCCCCCCAACCCCTTCGAGATTCTTACCTTCGCTGTCCCGCGATGACGGTTGGATGTCTGGTGCGCAAGATATCCAACCGTCGCCGCGTGTGTTCTCTCCCCCCCCCCCGCCTCTCCAGCATTCGCCTCGAACGGGTCCAACGTATATACATGTGTTTACATGCGTATATACGTGCATGTATACGCCAACGTACATGCGTAGGTACTTTTATACATACTTACATACATCCATACATGCATCCATACATACATGCACACATGCATACATACATACATACATACATACATACATACATACATACAAATATACATACATACATACATACATACATACATACATGCATGCATACATCCATACGTACAGACAGACAGACAGACAGACAGACAGACAGACAGACAGACAGACAGACAGACATACAATTGACTATGCGCACACACATACATATGTACATATATATATATATATATGTATGCGTGCACCCGACTGTACCCTACCATAGCCCGTCGTTCTCTCGGAACCGCCCGCTTTACCCGTTCCCGCAGGCCCCGCCCGAGTTCGAGAACGCAGCGCTGCCCGAGGCGGCGCCAGCTGCGACAATCGCGCCAGCTGCCATGACGGCAGCAGGGAAGAAACACGATAATGATGATGATGATGATGAGGAGGAGGAGGAGGAGGAGGAGGAGGATACGGAATAGGAGGGTGAGGATCTGACGAAGCTGAAGGGGGAAGAACAGGAGCACAAAGAGCGGATAGGAGATGAGGGGAGTCGAGGGGAAACTCGAGGATGGGAGGTCCTCGAGGATCCCCTGGAACCCTCTATAGGATGGAAGGGATCCTTGAGGATGGGAGGGGTCCTCGAGGATGGGGGATCCTCGCCCCCCATCCACAAGGATCGGAGGACCCTCGAGGGTGGGAGGTGGGCGGTGGGGGGAAGGAACCGCCTCCTCCCGCACCCGCCCCGCACAAGGCAGTGATGTCCGACGATGAGATGATCCTGCAGGAGATGTTCCGCGCCGACGTGCAGCAGGCCAGTCGGCCTGCCTTTTTGCTCCTGGTTCTGTGTCCTTCTTCCCGCACGCCCCTCGTCCCACCTCCTCCCGATTCGCCACTCGCCCAACATCCCCTTCCCGCGTCTGCCCTCCGCCCCCTCCTTCCGGGCATTTCAACAATCCCCCCACCTCGACGTTAACGCCGCTCGTTGGTTTATCGTCGGCGTCCACCTCTACGTCATCTTCCTCCTCCGTCTCCTTCTCGTCGGTGTATTCTCATCATCCGTCTCATCGGGTTCATCCCTATCCTCCACCTCCTCCCCCTCCTCAGTCATCATAATCAGGATCAGCATCATCATCATCATCATCAACATCATCATCATCTTCATCATCACCATCATCATCACCATCATCATCATCACCATCACCAGCAGCAGCAGCATCTTCCTCTTCCTTCTCCTCCTCCTCTTTCTCCTTACGTCTTCTCCTCCTGATCCTCCTGATCCTCCTGATCCTCCTCCTCCTCCTCCTCCTCCTCCTCCTCCTCCCCCTCCTCCTCTTTAGTTGTTTACTCACCAGGTTCCGCCATGCCATCCTCCCCCATCCTCCCTCGTCAGCAGCTGGCTTGGATCAAGATGTCCTCGCCAGGTGCAGAGGCGGCCCCAGGGCCGCTCTGCGCAGCCCTGCTGCCGCACGCCTCGACCCCGAGTTTCTGCACGTACCAGTACGATGGCGGCGTCTGTCGGCAGGGCATCGAGGGCCACGTCAAGCTCATCAGGAGCTTGATTCAGGTGGTGAATCGGACAAACACCGCCGACCCTTCTATATGTATTCCCCTCCGCCCTCCACGTGGAGGGGGGAGGACTTACGGAAGGACGGCGGTGGTGAAGGAATTAAAGGAATGAGAAGAACGAATGGAGGAATGGGGGTAACGGAGGAGTGGAGGAATGGAGGAGATCGGAGGAGGAGGAGGGGAGGAATGAGCAATGGACGAATGGAGGAAATGGAGGACGGAGTGGATGAACGGAGGAGTTCGGAGGAGGAGTGGATGAATCAACATGTGCGCAATTGGTGTTCTCACCCTAGGTGAACAGCACCATGTCCTTCAAGAAGGACGCGTGGCTCCAGGCGCTCAAGGAGGTTGCCAAGCACAAGCCACTGGTGTTCAGGAGCAAGGGGGAGGTGTCTGCGTGGCAGGCCGAGCTGCACAAGCGCTTGAAGACGATGCGCCGCCACGCGAGCCAGCACATGATCAAGGACACCCCCCCAAAATGGTTCAAAGCGCTGGCGCCCCCAAAGCCCGTGAAGAACGCAGAGCCTGGCGACGACGCCGACGGGGACCAGCACGAGGACGAGTTCGACGAGAACGACGAGGAGGGCGGGGAGGAGGAGGACCCCGCCGACTTCGAGCCCGACGTGGAGGTAGACACGAAGGAGCCTGCTGCCATCACGGCAACTGGCGTGGCCAAGACCCCCGTGTATGACTACGGGTACGACGGGGAGGCTCGCTGCGCGTTCCGCACGCGCACGGACGGCCCGAAGAAGCACTTCCCAGAGTATGCGCTCGAGATGCGCGAGCCTCCAGGTGCAGCTCCTACAGATTGCATGCTGGCGGTGTTCAACGACGCGGAGGCGGTGCCCGTGGCGCAGGTGACCGTTGCCAAGTGGCGATCGGGTCTCACGCAGCCGAAGGCCAAGGCGAAGATCAAGGCGACGCCGGGCACGCCCATGAAGAAGAAGAAGAACAAGAAGCAGCAGGAGATGAAGACGACGAATGAGATCTCCGACTCGGGCCCAGATAGCAGAGCCGCAAGCAGCGGTGCAGGCGCGAGCGAGCTGAAGTCCAGACGCTTGCCCGACAGGCAGGGGTGGCTCGGCAAGAACAGCAATGATGAGAAGGTCGAGGCGCTGATCCGCAGCAATGATGTCAGAGGCAAGCCGCCCCAGCGCCTCGCCGTCGTCCAGGTGAGCGGCAAGGCGGCGATCACCATCAATGTGGACAAGTTCGAGGCGACGGCGGAGACGACCTCACAAGCTGCTGCCCTGGCTTGGGCATCGGCCGTCGCAGTGAAGCTGGCGCACGGGCAGATCGATCGAGAGGGGGCCATCGCCATGAAGGCCGCGAAGCTGGATCAGGTCGGCGGCAATGTTGTCATGAAGAGGCCGTCAGCTGTTTTAAAGAAGCCAGGCGCAGCTGCTAAGAGCGCTCGCTCGAGGCCTTCTGCAGCGCCTGGCGCCAACGAGGGCGCTGCCTCTGCGGCCACTCCGCCCGTGACCAAGCGGGCGGTCTCGCCCTCCGCCCAGAGGACATGCCTGTCGCCGCCGACCCCGTCGCCGGATGAGAATGTGTGTGCGGCGTCAGGCTGATGCGAGGGCGGTGCGCACAGGCGCTCGCTAGCTGCTTGCGCCACGCACGGGACGGGTTGGGAGGCAGGACTAGAAATAAGGTGAGGGGAGGCAAAATACGAACGACAGAAATGTTGAGGTTGAGGGAACGAACCAAAACAACACGGAACGGGAGGAATGGAGGGAGGACGGACACCGTGCCAGGGGCAGCTTGTGCATTCTATGTTTATGCACGCATCGCGCAAGCCGCGCCGTGGTGGACCACGTTTGAGTCCGAGGGGATTCCTCGCCAGCGGCATGGTCTGTCGCCGATCGTGGGACGAACAGGCCAACGATACATCCCTGTACAGCTCAGGAAAAGCTCACGAGTATGTATGTGCATTAAGACGTAGGTCACATTCACACTCGCACCAACGCGCGCGAGCGTAAACAGCACGCACACATAAAACAAGAGGGAACATATGGAGAGGTAATACAATACGAAATAGAAAAGCGAGATATGCAGAGATACACACCTACTCAATGTCTATAGAGGGACGAATAAGACACGACCTCACACACATCTATATATATACACAGACTACATAATGATAGAAAAGAGAGAGATAGAGATAATCAGAGATAGGCACAACCTAACAGCACCACCGACACACGTGAGATACACGGGGGACGCATCACCTTCAGCCCCGTCATCATCCCACCGTCCCCCCTGTCGCCATCCCGCCACCCTTTAACCAACCTCCGTCGTGACGGTTGCTTTACCGATTCCCGTATCTCTCAACAACCCCTTCTCTCCTCAATCATCCCTCACGTATGTCGCCCTCCACCTGCTCTATCTACCTCACTCTCTCTCCCTGGCTGGGTTGGTCGGCATATGACTATCAAGTGTATGTAGATCTTAGTATGTGTGTGCATGCACACACATGTGTGTACACACCTATATATATAGGTTGATGTTCCTCCTCCCTCCCGCATGCTATTGCGCATGATATAACGATATATCACCATGTGTCTCCGTTTACCTCTCTCTATCTCCATCCCCCCTTGGTGCAGCAATAGCTCAACCCGTCTTGCTCACTAGCTCACTCTCGTTAGATATCGATGTCGCAGTCTCGATCCCTCTGTCTCTGTATATGTAGCCGTTCCCCTCTCCCTATCAATGGGCCGTGACTCGCCACGTCAATCGATTGGTTGTGCCGCGAGTTGTCGAGGCTACCCGTCCAGCTCAGCCCGCTGTGAACTCGCTGATCGGTTTCCCCAGGTTTCGACCCCCAGGGCAAGGAGGCCCCTCGTTTGTCGGAATCGCCGTATAGCTATCCATCACCGAGCGCCCCCGTCGGCGCCCGCCCTGGCTGCGCGTCCCGCTCGCCCTGCCTCGTCCACCCCTCCGACGCCCACGCGCCAGGCGAATGGCCCCGTCGGGAAGAGCATGGGCGCCGCTTCCTTCGTCATCCCGCAGGCCAGACGCTGGGGGGGGGGGAGACGGTCGCAAGGACGGACGACAGCCCTGGAATCGTCTGGCCTGCATGCAGGCATACATCCAACGCCCCTCCCCCCCCCCCCCCCCCCACCCCCCCCCCCCCCCAACACCACACAACACACACACACACACACACACACACACACACACACACACACACACACACACACACACACACACACACACACACACACACACCTCCTCCTCCTCCTCGAAGGGGTCCCCCCCACCTCCCCTATTCTCCAAACCCGTTGATCTCCTCGCCTATTCCTATTCCTTGAGCGCTCCTGCTCGTCGTCCCTGCTTCCCCTACCGCTGCCCCTCCTCGTGCTGAAGGATGGCGAGTGGTGGTGAGTTGGTTGAGCCTACGCCGTGATACCAAGTGCAGTTGCGACTTGTCGCAGTAGGCCTTGGGAGCTGCGGGTGGAATAAATCTGCCCCAGGCGGCCAACTTCGAGGGTCAGCTGATGAAGGCCTTCATGGACTCGGGCGCATTCAAGGCGGACGACGAGACCGAGGAGGGAGGAGATGCGGAGTCCATCGTGGATGATGATCGGGACCTGAATCTGGAGGCGGCGGCGGCGTCGGGGTTCGACATCGGCAGCACTGGCCCCATCGGGAAGAGGCACGCCCTCTTTCGTCGCAGCTGCGCAGAGGAGAACGCGAAGTACCAGAGCTTGGACCCGAGTGGCAAGAAGAAGCGGGTGAAGGAGTGGGCCGCGGAGCAGTTCGACCAGTACCAGGAGACGTCGTCTCAAACTGACGACGACGGGGGTGCCCTCCCTGTACCCTAGCACACGGGCACACATGTTCCCTCGATCGTTTTCCGACCTGTATTTATGTATGATTATACATGGTTATGCATGTGCGTGTGTGCGTGTTCGCATGAGTAAGTACATGTGTACGTACATATATATATATATACATAGATCTACAGACACGTTTATATACATATGTATATATACATCAGTATATATCTATATATACATATATATATATATATATATGTATACAGGGGGTAGCGGTGAGAACTGGACATGTGAGACGTGAGCTTCGGTCAGGAGAAGCGGTCCAAGATCGACGAGCGGGTCAAGCGGGACACGACGGTCGGCTCCTGGCTCACGTTCGAGGGCATGATCACCGCCGAGATGGGCGGTGGAGGCGGCCCACCCACGCCTGCAGCCGTGCAGGGGGCCATCAACCGCTGCATGTTTCTCATCAAGAAAGGGCCCAAGCACGTGCGGATCAACGAGGAGTCCCGCAGGCTGGAATGGAAGCGCAAGACGGACACGGAGACCGTGGACCACGTGAGCACCAGCCGTCACACTAGGTTCGAGACGAAGGACGCCGTTCGGCAGTCCAAGGAGCTGGTGACGCCAGCGCCGAAAGGGAATGTCATGGCCGCCGACACGCCGCCCGTCACAGTCGCCCGTGCTGCACATGAAGTTGCTGCGGCAAGTGGAGATGCTGCGGCCGTGGCTGCAAAGCCTGCTGGGACAACGCCAGACGTGAAGAAGCAGACGGCGAAAGGCACGGGGAAGGCGGGCAAAACCAAGAAAAGCAAGGGGAAGGCGAAAGCGCAGGCGAAGTCAACCGCGAAGGCCGCCACCCCGAAGACTGTGGACACCAAGGCGAGGGCCGTCGTGAAGGAGTACTCGCCAGTGCTGCAGAGGGCGAAGCATCTCGAGGCCAGCATCATCGACCCGCGTGGCGACAAGACGTGGGCCAACAACGACAGGTTCAAGGGGAAGCTCGCCAAGCACATCGCCAAGGTTGAGGAGAAGATCGCGGAGCACATCCCGTTGCAGGAGCTGGCGCTCTACAACAAGGACCTCCCTGAGTCCTTCCTCCACGACGTGCACGGGTCGCTGGCGTGCGTGGAGGAGTTGGAGCAGGCAGTCAAGAGCCTGGACGCCACCTTCCAGATGATCAGGAACCTGGATCAGGACGAGGGGCCGTCGCAGGAGTGATGATCGTCTACGCCCACGGCATGTACAGCAATGTGGGGGAGCTGTACACGGTTGACCGCGCCCGCGGGGATCGCCCCCAGCTCTGACGGGAGCGGGTGCGGGTGTCATAACAATGACGTCCATGCTGGTGATGTGGTGTCTAGCATACGGGTGACACAAGTTGCACTGACCCTCATGATGATGGCGTCAACCAGATATGGTATACCATGACTGTGGCACCGATGGTGGTGATGGTGGTGTGGTTGTTGATGATGCCGATGTTGATGCTGATACTGATGGTGATGCTGATGACGATGGTGATGATGCTGCTGGTAATGCTGCTGATGGTGGCGATGTCGATGATGAGGATGAGGATGATGATGCTGCTGATGATGATGAGGATGAGGATGATTATGATGCTGATGATGATGCTGCTGGTGGTGATGATGATGATGATGCTGATGGTGACGATGCTGATGGTGATGATGGTGACGATGATGATGGTGATGATGATGATAATGATGATGATGATGCTGCTGATGATGATGATGATGATGATGACGGTGATGCTGATGGGGGTCGCTGCAGCTTACCAGATATGGCCCACAGGATCAAGACTGTGAGGATGAGGAGGAGGAGGAGGAGGAGGAGGGGAGGCGGAAGAGGCGGAGGAGGTCCCCATATCCCCACCCCCCTGTTGACAGTCACGGTGCCTGTGCTCGTTGACTATGTTCTAGCATTGGGTTCCCAACGCCAGCTCCTGGGATACGCCCTGGCCGTTCTAGCATTGGGTCCCCATATCCCCTCCCCCTCACTCTCCATTTCCTCCTGGCTAGTGCATGCCTATGCTGCCCTCTTCTGGTCTCCCCTCCCATCCTCTCATGCCCCGTCCTTTCCTTCCCTATCTCTCGTTCGTTCCCCCTCTCGTTCTCATTTCCCCTCTCAGTATAGATCGTTATGTCTCTCTCGCTCTCTCTCTCTCTCTATCTCTCTCTCTCTCTCTCTCTCCTCTCTCCCTCTCCCACTCTCGATCCCTATCCCTCGCTACCCGTTCCTCTCTCTCTCTCGTCCTCTTCTCTCTTCCTCTCGGACACGCACGCGCATCATCGCGCCTAACACCACGCCGACTTCAAACACACCCGCCTAAACCGCACCCACAAAAAGCATACCCGCAAACCTCACACCCACACGAATCACACAACGCATACCGCACCCACGAGACCCACACACACGAGACACACAAACATCACACCACTCAAGCTCACACCTGACAAGACCCACACACACACAACCACCCACCCACCCACCCACCCACCCCCACACACCCACCCACCCACCCACCAACCCCCCGCATACACACACAGACACACACACACACAGACACACGGAACACGCGCACACTGACACGCACGCGTGCGCGCACGCACGCACGCACACACATATATACACACGATCACGCCCACAAAATTCACACCCACACACGTCACACCCGCAATCACACTACCGTCACT